GAGAGAGAGAGAGACAGAGAGAGTGCATGTGTGTCTGTTGAATGAGGAGATCTCCCCTATACAGCTCGAGCAGCCAATCAGCCGGCTCACTCTGACATAAAACCTAAACAGAGGCGAAAACAAAGATGGCTTTATGCCAGAAGACGACAGCTTCTGCTTACTCAAACTATTCCCTCCGTCTGTTATTTGGGTTTTAAGCATGTGACATGACACCATTTGAATAATCCACACACACATAACCTCGAATATGAAAAACTCTGCAGAGCATCTTCCCCTCTCATACACTCTGAATTCTGACATGGAGCTACATCAGAGAGCCACGCTGTATGAAATTTGTTGAAATATGTGCGAATCTTGGTGCGTGTAGTTGCTTTTTCCTCCATTTCTGTATTTTTCTTCTTCTTCTTTTTTTCCATTTCCCATCAGCGCTCTCCTTTTGTGGTGTCACAGAGTCTTGCTGCTGTTGTGACAATAGTGGTGAGTCATGCTCTCAAACAATGTGCCAAATTTGTCCATGATTAAATTCAGATTTATTATGCACGGGGACTCAACTCGACACTTTGATCTTCAATCTTTATCCTCTGTATCTGGGCAGAAGGCTTCACTAAGACAGACGGTAATCAGGAAAGGCTTGTCAGAGACAACAATAAGGAAAACTCATATTTTAAACTGTATTGAATTTTCCAGGAAACTAGTCCTGTAAGAGCTAATGTCTTTAGAACAGCGTATACTCAGGGAGGCCACGAGACTGTTGGGTAAAAGGTTTATTTCACAGAAAATGATCACAATGTTGGTTTAAATATTCAAAATGCCATTGCATGTTGAAAAATGATGCTTAACTTTACATGTACATGTTCACATGTTTCCAGTCTTTAAGCTGAGCTAACTAGTTTCGATATGAGAGTGGGCTCAGTCTTCAGAGTGAGCTCCCGGGAACATCAAATTAATTAAGCTTCTTCCCAAAATGTTGCACTATTCCTTTAATACGTGTATGTAGTTGATTTAGTTTGGTTCTTATAAAGCATTTGTTCTTTATTTGATGGGCCGAGTGGGTCAAGATTTTGTTTTTAAATCTTGTTTTCAAACACAAAATCCTTCATGCGTCAGTGAACATTTGCTGTACCCATGAAGAGATGCTGCGAGTGCACAGTCGGGGAGTTTTATCTTATTAAGCCTTCACTCTTCTGGAGGATGAGTCAGTAATAAATACAGTGGAGGGCTGTTTTTGTGACAGCTTGTTAGAGAAGCTGCCAAACAAGCTTTTAGACACATTCTGCAAGGTTTAAAAGTGATTCATGATCAATCAGGTGAGTGGTTTCAACCAAAATAACTTTTGAGAGGTCCTTTGTTGTGGTTATCCCTTTCACCATTATTCAGTCCTTTTATATTCAGTCTTTGGAAAAAGATCTAATTAACCTCTTAGAAATTTAACTACCATGTGTCTTATCTTCTAGTTGGGGCACCTAAACACTGGAACTTTAAACACTAGTGGAGGAAAAGCTGAGATCTGCTTTCATTAAATGAAGGGATGTGCCGTTGACCTGACCGTCTCTGGGGGATTTTTGTCCTTCAGAGATGCTGAGCTGGGGGATTTTGCCACCGGAGGGAAGGAATGAAGAGTCTGTTTGACAGATTTGAAGACATCAAGGTGATCTAATTTTGCTGCTTTACTCTCCTCTCTGAGAAGCTGATGTAGCCGTCCTTGAAAAGATTGAACTCCTCATATGTTAAAACTCCCCATCTGTGCACTCATGACGTCCTTTTCCATTCACTGCGATTATGGACAGTGGATGATACAGGCCGTATTTGGTGTACAAACATATGATTTGATTTTATTCTCATCGCCAAGCAAACATTCACTGGCCTTATAACAAGATAAATTAGTGAATGTATTAAAAGATTCAATATTTCAGTTCAATATTTGTTTGAACTTGGTGAGAGTTACAAACCTCTGTGTCAGGGCTAAATCTTTTTACCGTGAACAGGATTGTAGCTATTCACAGCTTTAATTGGATGATAGAGTGGTCGGCAGCTAAATTTATCTGATGTGTTTATTTGTGGACCTAAGCAGAGAGCGTTTTACACTCTGATTAACTTTCTTCATGGAAGCAGGTTAGTCAGAATATAAAAGGAACCTGATGTTACTCTGCTTGTTCATCTGCAGTTTTTATCCTGTGTTTTCTTGTTCAGTGAGATAAGATTAGTCTGCTGTGGGTTTGAACACGTGAATTAAAGTCAGCTTCAGTGTCTGAGGTGGATTTGTGAAGGACAGTTACATTAACAACAAATGAAAGCCCTCCGTTCTGCATCTGAGATGTCGAATGTCTTTCCCCTTTTTTCTTATGAAGCTCTCAGATTTTTGCTCTCAGGTCCCAAACTCTTTTAGCACTTTGCCCAGGCGGAGCCACCTGACAGCTGTGTGGTAGCCTATGTCACCATGCTCCTCTAAAACTTCAAACTGTGATTCAGCGATCTTTTCCTGATGAAGTTAACTATTTTAGTTACAACAAGAGCAACATGGTTAATTTTTGGCACTGACTCACACAGCACCTGCCTGTGAAAATACGAAATACGAAAATACCACTTTTGGGTTCATTCCACTTAATAGCAACATTTCTTCCTGACAGATTTGAACAGCCATCTTTTGTAACACCTGCCAGTTTGCCCATTTCAGCCAAAGCGTTTCCAAGCATGCACTTACTTCTGTGAACGAATCACTCCTTGATGTAGGGCCTTTCATTGAGCACATTGCTGCCAGCTCCTGCTTCGTTTCAAACTTTCATTATCCCGTGTGCAAAGATAAGTAAGTGGGATGTGCCGTAGTAAAGCCAAAGAAGTCAGAATTGTCCATTTTGTTTTCCAGTTGAAGCTCCAGATTTCCTCCATTGTCACTGATCTGTTTTATTACTCTTCACCATGGACGGTGAAGAGTAATAAAATCAAAGTCCACCAAAGGCTATTTGATAAACTCCCCCATTAGAAAATGGTTTACTGTATTTTGTGTGATTGTGAAAATCACAAAGCTGGTAGAGGTAAAGCGCACTTTCTTCTTTTTCATATGAGCTGACATCTTCCGGGAATTGCAATCTCACATCCTTTTCATAAACATCAGGTCCAAGACATTTACAGTGAAGCTTACACACACATGTTATATAAATCTTTAAAAAATATCAGTCAAACAAAAGCAACAACTGAATTGTGATTTTTTGATGGGGAGTTTATCAAAGAGTGTTTGTTGGTTTGATGTATACCCATTTATGTTTGAATCCTAATTTCACACACAGGTCAGTGTGGGGGACACACAGATGTGGATTGCAAGAAATAGAATTTAATCTAAGGGGACGAAAAACCTAAACCACACCAGGAAAAGAATCACCTCTCTGCAAATATGCGGTCACATTCTAACAGTAACATCTACCAGTGTTTCTAAACTTCAAAGACTTCACCTCTGTCTTGTCTTCACTCATCAACTGCTTGTTTATCTTCCGCCTGCTTCTTCCTGTCCTCTGCACAGTCCCTCCTTATCTCTTTGGCCTATTATTACTTGTTTAAAACTCTGGTTTCCTGCAATCCTTCATCTCTGAGGAATCCTTGAGATACAGTCTAAATTTATCCTGTTTTCCCAGAAAGTCCTGAGCTCTCCATTGATGCCAAAGTGCCAGGGAAAGCCTCTGAGTCCCTGCCATGGAAAATTAAAGAGTGAGGTAAACAAATGCGTGGAAGCACTTTGCAACAGGAAATCTTTTTAAAGACAAAATTAAACACATTTTCAGGTTGCAGGTATATTTTGTTGTATTCAGTGGTCAATGCATTATGAATGCTAAGTTTTTATAGAACTGTTATTTTATTTAAAGATGCAAAGTTATAAAAGGAAGCAGTAAAACAAGTTAATAAGGCATTAGTTCTGCAGTTGTAACTATTAGGAAGTTGGTAATAAGACTCAATGGGATTTTACAAAATCTAAAAACAATACTTATTCAAGATTTCTAAAGCTTTAGTAAATTATATCTTTGTTCTAGTTTAATACTCGCAAGCACTAAAAAAAAACCCCATTTGGTTTCACTGCACGTGGCTTCATGACAAAGATAGACAAAAACTGTACAAGTTATTCTGCACGTGACTTCGTTTCCTCACACATAGATCCAAACAGTAGAAGAACAGAAGATATTTTATCATCCTTCCTTCCAAACAATATATCTGATCCTCTTATGAGCAACAGCTCAGGCTGACAAATGACCCGCAATACAGGATGGACACATGAAGACGGTTGCATAATACCAGCAGACCTGCCTCCACGTGAGGGAGGCTTACTCACTGTAACCCACAGTAAACCCTCGCAGGTATAGGTTACTCACTGTCATTTCATCATCATCATCTGATATTTCATTTTCTCTGTGATTTGATTTGTGTCCAAAGGGTTATTCATCTGAGGAATGTCACGAAAAAGATTATCATGACCAGCAGGAATCGCACTGCAGCAGAAACAAGGCAGAAAAATACAATAAAAATAGTAAACAGGAGCAAAGGCTTCAGGGATGTGCTTCGTGTGCAGTTTCATATATCTGTGAGGAGGACATTTAATCTAACGATTTTGCCTTAATGTTCCTATAAATCAACACCAACCGATAATTTTAGGCCCCCTCTTCCTCCTGTACTTGACACTTTTCTCCAGGCTTCTGGGAGACTATTAAACAACTTCATTCAAGTCATTACACCTTTATTGGCCCGAATGCATTCTGCACCATTTGCGGTTTATGTAGCTGAGAGCGTTTATTAGACAATCCCATCATTCAGCAGGTGAAGTGCTGCTTTGCGCAGAGTTGGCAACAACAACATTTGTGCAAATGTTGCTTTACAAACAAATAATACTACAGCTGCTCCTGCACTGCCACATAGACCAATAAAGTAGCACTTGCCTTACTGTGCTGCTGTTTCTCTGCAATTTACCTTCATCACAAATTTCAGATATCTTGAACACACAAATTCAACCTGAGAAAGAAGGTTTGGGCTTGTGTCAAAGCGCAGCATCACTGATAAAAATCAGGACATATAATTAAAGCCTCCAGAAGAGCTACTTAATGGACCGTGTGTTGAATATGTTATCTCAAAAAGTTTTAAATATTTTTAGTTTACAACGGCCTAAATGTTAATACCCATAATTTTTTAATTAAGTATTTTATCCGTATAGTTTAAAAAATATATTATTTATTGTACTTATTTAATTTCTGCATCATTTCGTAAATTGCACAGTAGATTATTTTATGTTTCTTGAATTGTTATATTTTAACGTCACTTGTATTTATTTTAATAATTATAACTTATATGACTTATACTATAGCCTGTTTTCTGATATAAACATGTATTTTTTGCGCAGATACTATAAAAAA